GTGAGTTAAAACGTCAACCCAACGTAGTATTATATTATTTTGTGCCAACCTGACAAACCTGTTTAAATAATTCTCTCCAATTGGTTAGTGTGAATTTCGTATTTGAGAAATTAAGTCTCGCCAGAAATTATACATTTTTAATACAAGTGCGATCTTTTAGATTCAATTTCAAAAGGAAGCCTATTAAAGGTAACTTGTGTCAACATGTCATTCTTAGCTAGGAGTAAAAAACAGGATTTAAAAGTACTAGCAGAAGAGTTAGGTTTAACCGTGAAACCTGAATTTAAGATTGCTCATTTGCATAAATTGATTACTGAAAGTTCCGGTTATGATGAGGAGTTTACTCGAGAACTACTGGCTGTAATTAGAGAAGAAAGGGAAAGAATGGAAGAATGCGAAAGAGAACAAAAACGTGAAAGAGAAGAAGAGAAGAGAAGAATGCGACAGAGAAGAAAGAGAAAGAAAAGAAGAGCGTGAAAGAGAAGGAAGAGAATTAGAGCCTTTGAGCTACAGAAGCTTCAGTTGGAAGCAATGGCTGCAACAGCACAGCCGGTAGAAACTACGCAGTTACCTGAGCAGCCTTTAAAATTCAGAATTCACGATGTCATGTCCCGTTTCAACCCTAAAGAAGATGAAATAAGTTTATTTCTGGTGTTATTTGAGTGTCAAGCTAAAATAATGAATTTACCTGCTGAAAATCAAGTGACTCAACTTATTTCATTGCTGCCTCCTGACATTGTTCAACTTATTGCTAGAGAACCAGAAGAGGATGCGAAAAGTATGAATATGTAAAAACTTTACTGTTACAACGATTTAAATTGAGTGCGAAAAAATTTCGACAACTAAACACCAAAAATCTACTGAAAGTACTTGGTATGATTTCTAATATGAATTAAAGAATTATTTAGAAGGATGGCATAATGGATTAAACATTAAAACTTTTGAACAGCTAAAAGATCTCATGCTGGTTGATCAAATTAAAAAGCGTACTTCTCCTGATTTCAAAGAACATTTCATGGATGAATGACTACCATAATTTCACCCACTGAGATGGTTAAGGAAATTGAAGATTTTGAAGATGTGAGAAAAATAATAAAACCGAAATTTTCTGCCAATCAGACTGAGAAATAACAAAGGATGATTTAAACCTCGTTATGATAATTTTGTGAAAAAAAAAGAGAGTATCCGCCTCATTTTAAGCATTCTGATAAAGGGGATGATTCAAAATACCAAAGACCACCGACAAAGTCAATTTTAAAACAAGAACCAAGAAAATTTATATGACAAAAGATATCGACCACGTTGTTTCGAGTGTGGATCATACGAACATTTTAAGCCTCAGTGTCCTCACTTCAAACCAAATAAAAAGGTAAATTGCATATCTCCAAATGATGATTTGTTATAGACATATACAATTAACGGTTTAGCTAATGGGTATGAAATGCCTATTCTTCGAGACACAGGAGCCACTGTTGATGTTATTTCTTGAAAATACATAGATAACGCAAAAATAACTGGAGAACATGTCTGGGTACAATATCTTTTAAATGACCATTAGCGGAAGTTGAAATTAATTGTGAACATGGTCATATAAAGACAAAGGCAGCTGTTGTTACAAATGATCCCGGAAGATATGTATTGGGTAACAAAACTACACAATTGTTCAAAAATAAATCATTCTTAAATTTAGGAAAAATAAATGCGGTTTTGACACAATCTCAAGTAAAAAGATCTCATGAAGAAGATCGAAGTAGACAAACCGAAATGGAGAAACTAGAAGAACTGACGTTTATTGAGACTGACGAAGATATTTTACCGCAAACTTATGAGGAAGACAAGGAAATTAAGAAAGTGATGTTAATTCTAAGGAATTAATTGAATCTCAGCATCAAAGCAGAGATCTAGCCTCATTGCTTAGCGAAGCTAAAAATGGAAATTCCTGCAAGACAAATGATTTCAAAGTAAAAGAAAACGGGTTTTGGTGAAAAGAATAGACAAAAATGGAAATAAAAAGGAAATAATTGTTATTCCTGAAAAACATACGGATCAAATGCAGAACTATTCATCTTTGATGCAGATCCAAACAAATAATAGTGCTAAAACTCAGGGTAATTTGGTCAATACTCACTCTCCTAATGGTCAAGCTTCTGTCAATGCTTCACAGAAATCTGATAGACAGTCTAGGTGTTTACCTCCTGATAAGAAAACTGAAGTTATTGATTTGGAAGTTGACTCACCTTATTTACCTGCTGATTCATCTTCATTGGATAGTGTGTGTGAGTATTCCCCTACAAGTTCCCCAGTTTCTTATTCTCCAAAAAGCAAAGATGTGTTTGACAGTTTGTTAACAGCAGATCAAAGAACTTCTGATAAAAGAACTCGTGAAGGTGCTTCTAAAGCTAAGAAATTAAAAATATGTTCAGAATCTATGCACGCACGTCAGAAAACTTAGCAAAGAGGCACAAACACGATAAAGGATACTCAAAGTTGCCACATTCAATGAGAGTGCAAGTAGCAGATAAGAACAAAGGTTCATCTCGCAGAGAGCAAAAACTATCTGACAAGAAAGAACTGACAAAATTTAAAAAAAGCTCTAGATGAATTGCCAAGTTCTGGAGTTGAGATGCAAGTCAAGGAGACGTTTTTAAAGAAACTAAACAGACAAGAGAGAGTTGTTGAAGAAGTAAAACTGCTGCAAAATCGTCTATTACACTCACCTGATTTCAATAAGGAGTTTATTTTTCAAATTGATGTTTCAGACTCTGGTACGGGTGTCATTTTAGTTTCAAAAAGATGACCAAGAAAATGAACATCTAGTATTATACCTCAGTAAGAAGTTTACAGAAACTGAAAAAAAAGTACTCTACCACAGAAAAGGAAGGCACTGCCATTATACTTGCTGTAGAGAAACTTCAATGTTATTTAGACGGGCATACTAAATTCCTCATCATAAGCAATCATAATCCCCTAGTTTGGCTAAAAAATAATGTGAGTCTAAATCTCCGACTTACGAGATGGGCACCAGTACTACAACCCTACAATTACACAGTCGTTCATCGAAGTGGTAAAAACCATAAAAATGTAGACGCATTAAGTCGTACTCCCTGGCCTGATTAAATAATTTATTTCCCCATATAGATAAAAACTATTTTGTTCTTTCTTCTCTTCTTTACTGTATATTATATTATATGTAGTATTTCAATTATGTATTGTGCTGATATTCTGTTGTTAAGAAAAAAAAATTTAAACTTTAATTTATAAAAATATAAATTAAAGTTTATCTGGAAGGGGGAGAAATTGTAATATTTTGTTATTTATCAAATAACTATATTTATTGTTGAAGTGGCAATGCCATATTTGTATTATGTAACCGTTACTCAGCAACATAAGAAATTGTTTTAAGATTAGAATTCTGAAGTTTGACCAGCTAACAGATGCATGAAAATTTTGCCACTTAGGAATTGTATACAAATTATCTAGCTCCGTAAACTAAAAAAAAAAAAAAAAAAATTTGTTTTATTAAAAAGTTTATCTGTTTTGTCAATTACTTCAAAATACATTACAAGGTCAATACAGTTTATAGAATTGTAATTTAATAAAATTTTAAGTTACTGATAATTAGAAAAATTTCTGCCACTAAATAATTGCCTTGAATTGTATTTAAAGAAATTAAATAACGAAGAATCTGCATGAATGTATTATGTTTCTCGCAGTCATAAAAACGGTACCTAGAGCCATCAAAGTTTGAATAACGTAATTTTCCATAGAATATGGGCATGTGAAAGAATTTTAATTTGAAATTTGTTTTTATTATCAATTTTATATTTTATAACACTTCAACGAATTTTTGATTAACAAACTCAATGATCTGAAAGGGTACAATGGCAAACACTGTATGGAAAAAAAATATATATATATCTCCAGTATGTGAGATTCTGAATCAAAATTATAAAGATATGCTCCTTTTAAAATTATTTTGCGACATTGCTGTTGAACTGAATTTTTATGGTTTGAGTACGTAGAACATGATATTTAATAAATAAAGTTAACATACAAAACATTAAAAAAAGCCCTTGTAATTTAAAATCTGAAACCTTTCAGAATTTTTAAAATTAAAATTAGAAACTGATAAAGTGAAATAAGTTTAACAGTCAGAATAAGTGAAAAGCTTTAACAATTAAAGCAAAGCAAGAAACAAGGAATAAAGAAATACCCCTCCCAGCTAAAAATAATTATCACAACAATGTTAACAATCCAGAGGTTTTCATGTAACAATGAATATGAATAAATTAATCAAAAAATAACAACCTAAATTAATTAGAAGAAATGGAGATTTAAACAATGGAAAATGAATAACCTGGTTTTAAGATTTCTATCAAAACTAATAATACATCATATAATGACCAAGAATTGAATTACAAGAACACTCAGAGACTGACTGACACCATAAAAACCATACGATCTCTGATATCACATGCTACTTTTTGTGCCTTTTTGTTTCCTTTCTTATTAGTTTAGCTCAAAATTTCTGGCAACATTGCTCCAAGCGACCAAGGTTTTGGCTCTGAAATCTTGCAGTACTTCAGAATGTTATGAATAAGCGGTATTTTCTTGATTATAATTCTAAACTCTTTTCTTCCAATATATACCTTGCTTTAATTGCCTGTACATTGTAAAAGATGCTTGTCTGTGTACTTAAAAGCATTGTCGCAAATATTTTTAAATGTGTAATGTGTGTAACATACAGTTCGACCATTTGGAGATTGAGAAACAAAGTAGAACTATTTTTTAATCTGAGAAGGAAAAGAATTATTGTTCTTTTTTAACTATATGATTTTGTATTATTTTCCCTGCACTCTAAACACTTTTACTTTTTGAGTACTTAACTTTTAGGAACCTAAGAATACTATCCATTAAAGAAGCTAATGTGCTTAAAATAACACTTTTTTAATAAAACAATACAAATTTCAAGATTTAAGGAAAAAAAATAGAAAAATTACCTGCAATCATGTTGACCCCAGCAACTATTTTCGGGCTACACTCCTTGTTCTTCAAAGATGGAGCAATTTTTTCATCAAAATATTCCATGGCCATTGAGGATAAATCTCTCAGTTCTTGTAAAACTTCATGAGCACGTATAGGGTTTGATTCTGAAGTAATATATCTCAGAACTCTATAAATTTCATCTAAAACCTACAAATATTTTTTTAAATTATTCTCAGAATTAAAAGTAATAGAAAAATCAACATCAAACTGAATCATAAGATTGTCCAACAAAGATTTTTATTATCTATGCATGCTGCTCTCAGATAGGAACTCAGACTTTAGCTGTCACTTACAGGTTTCCAACAACATCTTTTGTTGATGTTAAAGAAATTGGATGTTGTAACAGATGGACTTAACTTCATCTAACATTCTGGCCATGACTTACCTCCTGCAGATATAGCCCACAAGGTTGCCAGACACATTAATTTGCTTTCATTAGAAAAAAAAAAGAAAAAAGGAAGTCTGGACCTAGCCATTATTTTGCTTTTTTTGAGTCAACTGGTACAGCTGGCATAAGCTCAGTTATCATTCATCTCTGGGTTATTTTAACAAGTTTTTATCAATATAAATATCTTTTACATACCTTTTACATTATAATACAGAACTAGTAAAGCATTCAATCAAGTGTATCTCACCTCATCATTTAAAGCAATTTAGAAATAAGTGCTGTTCTCCTCGGACTTTGTAGCACAAGGGTAGCAGTGACAAGGAAAATCATCACATTTGAAATTATTCACAAAAATAAGAATTACTAACCTCAGGAAAGTTTAATGTCATCAACAGAGTTCTTATAAATTCTAAAAATTTTCTGCTACCAAAGATAGGATTTACTGAGAAATCCATTGCAGCAATAAGGATCCAGGTAGCCCCCCCCCCCAAAAAAAAAAAAAAAAAAAAAAAAAAAAAAACTAATTTCCTGACATGAATCAAAGCCAGGTATGAAAATTTTAACAAAAGGAATTGCACTTTATTTCATAAAAATTACTATTTTAGAAAAACAGAAAATATAAATAATTATACATAAATAAGAAAAATTTAAATAAAAATAAAATTTTTAATATAAAAAATTACAAAATATCAGCCATTGCATAAACGATATTTAAATTTAATTATGTGGAACAATTTACATCAAAAGTTGCCACACATTGTTTTCTTTTTTCATACCAATTAATCTTAAGCCTGTGTTTTATGGACCAAAAATCCTTGAAACCTGCCCTGTTGTTCTCCTAGATTTTCGACAAAGACAAAAAATTAAATTGAAATTATAGCTATAGCTGAAAATCCGACTTCCAAAATTAAGACATGGCAATTGTCCATCACGTTTTTTCCCAAGATAGATATTTTATGAAATTTATTACCAGTTACACTACCTATGTACATTGGTTTATCTTTTAGATGTATTGTTAAATTACATCTCAATCTACAAGGTAATTCTTTGACCCTTCTCAACACCCTTGAAAAAATAAAATGATCTGAGAAGAAACTTGTTTTGTAAAACCAGGGGGAGCAGATTAAGAAGCTGGTGGACCTGCCTGCAACCAGGGGCCCCCACACTTGATGGACTCCAGTTATAAGATCAATGTACAACAGAAAGATCTTGTACCCACATTGCAACCCGAATGATTACCACGGATTTCAGTTGTGTAGCAACCCTAGCCATCTTTCTTCCTCATATCTATATTGTTGAAATATGTACAAAGTTTCCGTATGCTTTTTTCTCCCCCCCCCCCACAAATTTTATTTGGAACAAACGAATACTGTTCAAGTCAAACAAATCTGTTTTCAGTTCACAGCCATGCTTAGTTACTCTCGGATGCACCCTTTTTTACATATAAAGTTAATGAAACAAAATGTTAAAATTTCAGGTAATATACTTTGTTTTGTTCCATAATTTTTTACTGTTTGGGTTTCGCAGGATCATTTTTTCACTGTTTGCTTTCTTATATTTAAGAAAAGCACCGTGTTTCCAGTTTGATAATGTTTTCCTTTTAGTATTTCTATATTTTAAGTTTTTATAATTTAGAGAAATGTAACCATGAATGTAATTAAAATATAAATTTAGTTGAAAAACATAGATTTCTTTTTTGATACTGCGGCGTTTGCGAAAAAGGTTTGGGCTATTTTGAAAATTTTAAATTATTTTGCAAATGTTTTACTGTTTTGTTCAGTCGCAAAATATTAAGATTTTTGAAAAAAAAAAAAAAAAAAAAAAAATGAAATTTTTCAAATAAAAATATATAGTGATAATAATAAACTAGAATGTGTAAAAAAACATTTGTATTCAATTTATGTTTTATTATTTATTATTTATTAAGAAAACTTGAATGGAAACTATACAAATTAAGGGCTTTGTGATTGATTCCAGTTTTTAAAAAAACTTTTTAAACCTTAGAATTTGGAAAGCTTACTTGGTTGAAATATTTTTAAGAATTTTGGTCATAAATACTATGGGAGCTAAACTATGTTTAGTATTAGATATGAAACTATGATTTCTTTAAAAAATATGAAATTTAAACAAAATATTTTTGTATTAAATCAGAGCTTTCATAATTCAGTCAGAAAATTTAAAAAAAGATACAGTAATTTTAGGATAGTACGGAAAAGAAATAAAAAAACCTGAAGATTATTATTTTAACTAAGAATTTCATGGAAAAAATTTACGTTCTGCATTAATAAGTAGAAAACTTTAAAAAGTCTGAAAAATTCAGAGTCAATTGAAAAAGAATTTAGTTAGGTACTTTTCCGTTTCGCCGGTGCAAATCTCGCCAAGCAGACTTTATTGGCGACACATACAGTATACACATAAAAAATGTTAACAAAAAACTTTTAAAATTTTGTAAAAAGCCAATATATGTGTAAAAAGACATTAATTTAAGAATTTATTATGCTTTCATGGTTCAACAAGCTGATTCTCTGATTCATATCACGTGACCCCAAGTGACTTCATCTTACGTAAACTACGCCACAAAAATCTAATTCTCTCAGTAATTATCTACATTAATTTAAAGTTAAATCTTAATTTGGAATAAAAGTTTAAATGCAAGAATTATTTCAATTCATACTAGTAGCTTATTCAGAAATTATGTAAAACTGCAGTGCTTTACTTCGCTAGTGTATTCTCATTAGACTGGATGAATTTAACCCTTGACTTTGCCTTTTCTATATTTTCGCCTTCAGGTGAGCGGCGAGATTGCATTCTAATTGACTTAATTACCACGAATGGCCTTAGGGCATAAAATTGTACTATCTGATAAAAATTCTATGTAATTGTATGCCAATATTGAAAGAAATAATCAATCTGATAAGAAATACTGCAACTTGTTTTGAAAATGAGGCGAAAAGGTTACCAGCAAGGATATTCCGTTTGGCATCAGTTGTACCATTATGGCGACTTTATTGTTTGCATCGGCAAAATGGAAAAGCACCTTTAGTTATTTTTTAATTTAAAATTGCTAACTTTATTTTTAAGCATTCAAATTCCTTCCACACTGCTACAGAGAAATAAATTGGCTGACTCGGAATCGGAAATCGTTCCTCGGCCAAACGCGAGACTTTTGGCGAGCAAAGCAAATGTGCCCATTGCAAAACTTGCCAATCATCCCAGATAATACCAAAGTTTGTAAATTTACATTGGCAACAGCCCTAGTCACCAGTCTGCTCAATCGTAATATTTTGTTTGGCGCGGCCACTACGTTTTGTTTTATAATAATCCTGTTATCCTTGTAAACTGCTTTCTGCTACATCACCTAAATTAATAATTGGTTTTCAAAAATGGAAAGCAATTACCAGCAACTCTGTCCGACCATGAAATACCAAAAGAGTATATATACTCACACGCATTTTGTATAAATGGTCATTAAAATTTAATAGAATAGTCAGCTATTACAGAAAAGAGAACATGAAGAGCATTATTAGAAGGAAGTCTCGAAGCAAATAATATCTACTATAAAACTTTTGAGCCATTCAGAGGCCACGGTGAAGATCAGGAATCTACAAGGAAAGAAAATTACTTGACGTGTCTGGAGTATCTAAGTGATTACAATAATTTCTTGAAGCTGCACCTTCAGAAATACGCCAATAAAGGACGAGGTACTTTTAACTATCTGTCCCGCCAAATTTGTGATGAATTTAGAAGTATTATTGGTAAACAAGTAAGAGCCCATATACTTGATGAAGTTAAGAAAGCGAAGTATTACAGTAAAGTGAAGTAGTAGAGATACGATACAGCCCATATACTTGATGAAATTAAGAAAGCGAAGTATTACTGACGACGATTACAGAAGTTGATCAACTAACATTAATCTTAACATGTCTCATCTAGTGGTGAAATAAAAAGTATGTGCAATTTATACCCATAGTGTACTTTAACCAATTTATACCCATATACATACTTCTTCATATTTAGAACAAGTTTAGCTAAATTTGGATTGGATATTAAAAATTGTTGAGGGCAAGCATTTGATAATGCATCCAATATGTCCAGGCAGTACTCAGGTCTACAGGCACATATTAAAGAACACAGTCTAAGTGCAGTTTACATTCCTTGTGCCAGGCACTTTTTAAATTTACAGGGTTTGTACACATTTCTGCACACAGAAATTAAGGACTTTTAAGGATCATTAATGAAAAAAAATTAAGAACCTATGAGCAAATGGGAACTAAATAAATTCAATTAAAAATATTATTCTAAGCCTGAATTTCACTTTTGTAATACCATTCTAAAAATAAAATATCCCTAAGTAGTATGCATTATTACTAAACATGAGTTGATGAACATAATTATTAATAAGTTTGAGAATAAAATAAACTCCCTGCAGATTACCAAGTAGCATTAAATATTTTACACTTGGACATATTTGAAAGAAGATATGTAACACGTTTTACTAATAGTTTAGCCATATGTTGATTTTTTTTTTCCCCCCTCATTTTGTCACATACTTGGTCAGTCTAGAGCATAGGTTCTCAACCGGTGGTACGCAAGAAAAAAATAAGTGGTACACAAACAAGCAAAGTATTTTGAACTATTTATTTCAAAAATTAAAACCCCAACATCCCGATTGAGTTTTCTCTCTAACACTCGTAAATTTATGTGATCTGAGCTTTGTTCAAGAGTGGTGGTGGTAGCAATACTTTGTAGTGGTGGTACT